TCTCAACAAAAGGTCCATAAGGATTGAAGAAACCTACTATGTCACATTCGATGATAATTATTTAAAGAGGAATCTGAAAGCTGATAGCCAAATGAAGAAGATCTTTCCACAAGCAAATGCAACAACAATTCCTCTCTCTATTCTCTACAATGAATTTTTGAATCTTTTCGATGAACCAAAAAAAGCAATTCCATCCGAGTCCAAGGTAGCTAACAACAAAGTCGATGAATTGAAGAAAATCATAGATGATGTTGCAAAAGAAACAGAACAAGAGAATCCCACTCCGAAAGAACATGAAGGTCCATCGTAATCTTTAGATGTGAATGCTACATTACAGGGGCAATATTCTTCTTCAACCACCTCTCATAATACACCTGTTTAGAGAGAGAATGAAACCCCTAATGTTAGCTTAGAACCACATTTCCAGGAGGAGAATTTGAATCCAGAAGATGGTGATCATACATCATTCAAGGGGGGGAATGGAAATGTGAATGATGATTCGGATGTACAATCAGAATTTGAAGAAGTGAATGTGGAATTGGATCTATCATATGATCCAAACTACCTTCCATTAGCTAGATGGACCAAAGAACATTCGAAATCTCATGTCATTGGAGATTCTTCTTCAGGTGTTCTTACGAGAGCTCAACAAAAGGCGAAGCGAACTGCCTTATTCTCTAAAGTGGAATTTTGCATGTTAAATTTGTTTATCTCCAAAATTGAACCTAAAATCGTTCAAATTGCTCTTCATCACTCTGATTGGGTGCAAGCTATGTAGGAGGAGCTCAATGAGTTTGAACGAAACAAGGTCTGGAGACTTATTCCCACTCTAAAGTATGCTTCCATTTTTGGTCTCAAATGGGTATTTCGCAACAAGTTAGACAAAGAAGGAAATGTCATACGAAACAATGCATGATTGGTTGTCAAGGGATATTTCAAGGAAGAAGGCATCGACTATGAAGAAACTTTCGCACCAGTTGCAAGGTTGGAATCTGTCCGTATCTTCTTGGCTTACACAGCGCACAAGAATTTTAAAGTATACCAGATGGATGTCAAACGTGCATTTTTAAATGGGGAACTTGAAGAAACAGTGTATATGGAACAACCACCTAGGTTTATAAATGAAAAGTATCCGAACCACTGGTACATTCTGGACAAAGTGGTCTATGGTCTGAAGAAATCTCTAAGAGCCTGGTATGAAACTCTTACTCGTTTTGTGCAACAGACTAAGCTTAAACAAGGTTCGGTCGACCCAACCTTCTTTCACAAGAAATATGGTGACCACTTGATGATCTTCCAAATCAAAGTTGATAACATCATTTTCGGTTCTTCTAACCCAAGCTTAACCGTTGAGTTCCAAAATTTGATGGAAGCGAAGTTTGAGATGAGCTCCATGGGTCCGATTAACTTTTTCGTTGGCTTGAACATAAGGCAGAGTCAAGAAGGAATATTTATAAATCAGGAAGCTTATACAAAGACCTTGCTTGCCAAGTTTGGAATGGTGGGAGACTCTAAGGTAAAGTTCCAATGACAAACTAACTCATTTTTGGGAAAAACCAGCTGCAAATATGTCACTTTATCATCAGATGATAGGTTCACTAATGTATCTAACTCCCAGTCAACCAAATATCATGTTTTTCTTTTGTTTTTGTGTTAGGTTTCAAGCTAATCCTCGAGAACCTCACATGATCGCTATCAAGAACATATTCAGGTATCTTAAACGAACATCTTCACTTGGAATAATGTACCTCTCAAAGTCTGGTTTCTTTGTGCAAGCATTTTCGGATGCTGATCTTGTAGGATGCGGGTTAGATAGAAAGAGTACAATTGGAGGATGCCAATTTCTTGATGGCAAACTAGCCAGTTGGCAATCCAAAAAGCAAACCTATGTTTCCTTATCAAAAATTGAATCCCAGTAGATTGTTGCTGCGTCATGCACTTCCCATGTCATATGAATTCAAAGTTAACTTCGTGATTATGGTCTGAACATGAAACAAAGACCTACTATATTGTGACTCTGAAAGTGCCATTCGCATTTGTCACAACCCAGTAAAACACTCAAAGACGAAACATATAGCACTGAGGTATCACTTAATCAGAGATCATGTAGAAAATGGTAATTTTAAGATGCATTTTGCTAGATCTGCTTATCAATTAGCTGACATATTCACAAAAGCCCTACCAGAATCAACATTCATTTATATTTTTTAAGGCTTAGGAATGATGGAAGCTGAATTCGTTCCAAAACCACTTTTGCTTTCACAGTGACACTTTCGCTTTTAGTTACACTTTCGCTCTTGCAGTCTATAGGATGTCATGTGAATTGATGTGAATGCTCGCAGTAATTTGCATTCATCTTTTGTTATGTGAATCGGTGTGAACGCTCGTAGTGATTCACAACCCTCTTTTACCATGCGACTTCATATGAAACCTCGAAGTGTCTCATGATCAACTATTCATTCGTGGTTTGGAGTGTTTTGTACCCTTTTGATAATTGTGTATATTTTTTTTTCCTTTCCGTTTTTTTTATTATTATTATTATTCATTCAAAATTACAAACATATTTATTTGTTTCTATTTTTATTTTATTTTATTTGAAAAATCAAAAATTCAAAAATATTTCTTTATGTTTTTATTTCTTTTAGAAAATCAAAAATACAAAAATATTTTCTTTATTTTCTTCTCTCTTATTCAACGTATTTCAAATTACCCAAATTATTAGATAATTGAGTTGGTGTCATATCAAGACTCTTGATTGTCTCAATTACGAAGGATGGCACAGGTATAAACATTCTTATATATATACTAGTTAAGCATCCCTAGAAGCATGTTGTTACATGTTGTTTGAAGCCTCAATGACTCTATGTTGAAGCCTTAATGATTCAATAACACCAATCGTTTCTTCCATATAAGGTTGTTTGTTCACATAACTCTCGAGCTACCTTACTCTTCTTATTATGAGTTAAGAGTTCACTGCTTGGTCACTTTCGCATAGAAAAGGTACACAATTTTCATTGGAACCACCTCATACTCTTCTCCATCACTTTCTCATTCACCAATGTAACCATCCAGACTCTCATACATTACCTCTAAGGTTTATGGTTACATAATTTATATGTTTATGATCTTCAATTCGTTATCCCCACAAATTGAGTGAAACCCAAAATCCAACACACTTATACGAATTGACGGTGAACAATATACATGTTCTAGACTCTTCACCAAGGAATTAACTAAATCTCTTTTTCTTTTGCGAGATCTTAATGAAATGTTCTAGACCTAAGACATTTCTACCCAATAGATCCAGTTTTTTTTTTTTTTTTTTTTGATATTTCAAGGCGAATTCATGTCACTTCAAATAATTCCAAGACTTACTTGTTCAATTGACTACACTGGTCAAACAAGTACTCCATTCAAACTTTCGGACTTATATCAAGTTTCGTAGTTTTGTTGGAGATAGAACCACCGAATAAAACCTTTAAAAGATGCCTTTCACTGTTTCTTAATAAAAAGATGATCGTAATTCAATGGGGAGCCACACACACACTTCTTAGTCTCTCTTGACTTCGAAGGAAGAGATCTTTGCCCGAGATCCAATATTTCATATCTTAAACAAGACATCACTAAAATCTCACGCATATTCTTTGCTTTATTCCTTTATCTTTGGCACACTCTCGCATGAAGATCCTTGTGATTTCCAAAATTCTGGTTCCTGGCACTCACATTTATTTTCAGTTTCGTAGTTCAAATCAAGTTTACTTAAAAGCAAAACTTTGTATCTACATGCGAAAGGTTGTATGTAACTGAACTGCAAAAGGGAGAAATTAAAGCGGCAACTCTAATGGATAAGATTTCGAATAGGCGCGTGAAATTTGAAACGACACCTGATTTTCCGCCGCTTGACACCTTTTTCTAACGTGGCAGTTGTCACATCATGTTTTTAGGTGACGTTTCAAAGGAGAAAACGCAACCATCATCATATTTTCTCTCTCTTGGTTAATGGTATAAAGGGTTTTCCGACGCTTCATCGTTCCTCACCATTATCAAAAGATTTCAAAATCTCTCAAGGCGATTTTTCTCTCTACTGTTCATCATCTTCTTCAACAAGCATCCATGGCCGCCTTATCAAAAAACCCTTCAGTTCAAGAGCAATCTGCTTAGTCATTGATTCTTGCAATCAAGCCAAATCAAAACTTGATTCTTGATCTCGATCCTCTCAAGTATGACAGCTTCTTGTCGCCGATTGTCGAGTGCTTGAAATACTCACCTATGGTTAATGCTTTGACCACATCTGAGATTGTTCTGATGTCTCTGTTATCCAAGACTTACTTATCTGCTTTCTACATCAAGGAAGAACAAAGAATCACCTTTGAAGTTCACAACCAGAAAACCTCAATCACCAAGTCCCGATTTTGTTCCTTACTAGGGCTCGCTCAGAATGGTTATATGGTTGACCCTAATTCCACCTTAATAACCGCTATCATGGAGATGTTCTACCAAATGGGGTACAAAGAAACCCTAAGTACCATCTCGAAATTCCAGAAGCACAATCTGCTACCGCAATGGAATAGGCTCTTTACTCTTTTGTTCAAAAGTTTTCCGGAGTGTGTGACTAGCTCGGATTATGCCAGTAGGTTATTTATGACCATTATGTATGGGATCTACACTGGAATAAACATCAATTTGGGGCTATTCTTTGGGTTCAATTGGTCAAAATTACCCATTCTACAACTCGACATGGTGAAATGTCATGTCCTCGCTTCTGGACAATCATTATTCAAAGGGCAATTGAGAAACTACAGATTCCGGTGATGCAAGACCCCTTCATGTCTACCATCTCAATCTTTCACACTAAGAACATCAACCTTGCTGAAAACTCCAACTTCTCATTTGTTGGCTCCATTCCTAAAGCCATGTTTCGCGATGTTCCTGCAGCAAGCAAAATTCTAGAAGCCTACAGAAAACTCTTAGTTCCAGGCTTTCGTCCTTTAACTCCTAAGATGCAATCAATCATTAATGAAGCTGAAAAACCAAAGAAAGGAGGGCAGAAAGGACGTAAGAAAGGAGAAAAGAAACAAAGTGCTCAAAAGGGTCTGTCTGAACCTACTAAAACCCCCCAAGAAATGAAAGACAGAAGTTGGCTCATTTGCACCAGCTCCTACTCCAACAAAGAAGAAAAAGATAAAGAAGGAAGCTCGTAAACCCAAATCTCCAACTCCAAGTGATAACGAAGATTCACAGTCTGACTCAGATGTTCACATTGAAGGGGATGAGCCTATACAAAACAAAGACACTGCAACAACTTCACAACCTGATGTTTCGCAGCCGATTTCTACAAATCCTGAGGTAACTACTGAGATTCCTTTCTCAGTTCCGATTCCTACTTATTTCTTTGAGAATGTATCTATTCCCTATCCCACTGCCATTGTTTCCATACCCATCACTATTTCTCCATGCCTACCTGTCACTTTGGGCATTTCACAATCCCCACCTATTTTCACCGATTCCACCACCACACCAATAACAACTGTTGAGCCTCTTGTTTCTATCAATGCATTTGATGCGGGTATAGGAGTTTCAGGTTTCACAACTGGTCATTCCACACAACCCATTTTCCTTCTTCGCCAAAATGACCTAGATATGATATACGGTGATGATGAAGATAACTTCGCAGGATTCACCTACAGCCCATTCAACATCAAGACTGAAAGTGATGACGAAGCTCATGTCATGAGAGGGAAACTCAAGGTAATACACAAAAAGTGGACTTATTGCTTCACACTTCAAAGGCATCATCCAGTGATGATTATTCCCAAGCAACGGTCAAGTCCCTTCTTGAAACCCTTACGAAAGAGCACTCTGCCAACCTTGAAAAGATGAACAAGCCGGTAGAAGCTTCTGCTACTGTTTGCAACAACACGACCGAAAAAGTCGATAAATTAATTACTAATCCAAGGGTATTCATGGAGAAGTTCCAAAGATCCTTTGAGTCCAACACTATGAAGGTTAATGAAGTCATTTCTAGCCTGGGGTCAACCCTTAAAACTGAGAAGGCGAAACTTCAAGAGGTTCGCACCGGTCTTAAAACTGGCCATGATCAGTTCAATTCATCCATCTCCGCGCAAATCTCTAAGCTTCAATATGGCCTAGATATGAAGAGAAAAATAGCAGTTGTTCTTACTATCAAGACTGAAAAGGTGAAAGTCCTAACAATCAAACATGAGAATGCTGAGAAACAAGTCAATGATTTGTTATCTGAAAATGCAGCTACAAAAAGTTGCATCGCAGTGAAATATGCATGATTGTATCCAGTTGAAATAGAATGAAAGAGACTGCAAGCCCCCATATATGATTGATTGTATCCAGTAGAAATAGATCGAAGGGGATTGCAAACACCCGTATATGCTTGACTATATCCAGTTGAAATCGACCGAATGGGATTACAAGCACCTAGATATGCTTGACTGCATCCGGTTGAAAGACACCGAAGGGAATTGCAAGCACCCAGATATGCTTAACAGTTTTTTTGTATGGTATGGGGTATTTTGGGGGAAGTCACTAAGATTTGTACTTACGGTTTTTAGTTTATATTTCAGGTACTTCCAATTTGAAGGGTAAGGACCCGACCAGATCGCAATGCATCCATTAATGATTTTTCGCATTATGATATTTTAGGAATTTGTACTCCGATAAAATGTTGCTATGGTACACTTTTGATTGTTTTGATATGATTATCGTATGTTTTGAATGAATTTTAAAAAAAATTATCTGTATTTTTGGATGGTTACAAGTTGGTATCAGAGCTTTGATTTAAGAGATTCGAGCATACTCTCGGATGTGCCTGAACTCAAATCGAGGATTTGGTATATTTTCCATAAAAAGAAACATTTTAATTAAGGGATTTTAAGAAAAGATAAGCGTACGATGGGTGCAGTTAGCGTAACTTAATAAAGTCTTCCCAAAATACCCATACATTTTATATGTTTTATGCTATGATATGAGAATTGGATGCTAAAGTAGGGGATAAGGATCTGGTCAGGATTGCATTGTAGAATGCTAGGAGAGATACCTTTATGTGCCTATTTGTATGAGCTTATGGATTCACATGCTAGTATTAGATCAGTTATTTAATAGGAAGGCCTATATAGGTTATGTTCTAATTTGAATTGCTTGATGCTCGAATGTTGCATGCTTTGCGCTTTAGGAAATTATCATGGTACCAACTAACTAGTGGGTGAATGAGTTTGGTTACATATTATTGAGATTGAATAATTTTAGAAGGATAGGTTTAACTCTATTGTGCAACTCTTGTTTGATTCCAACCATTGTAGTGTGGGACCTTTCATTCATAGAATTATATAGTATTGATAGTATGTAATTGTGTTCATGTGGTAGTTAGATGGTATTAGTATAAGTTCCTTCTACATCTGATAGTAGAAAGGGGTAAGGAAGTGAACCCTAAGTAGTCCTTAGGAGATGTATCGGTACGTAGGATGCCTTATAGTATAAGGAGTGTGCTAGATGGGAAGGAGTGACTTAAAGCAGTCAGAGTAGTCCTAGAGGAGGGTATAAGTAGGTGTGCAATGTATTATTGGGCCCATACTACTTGAGGCACACGATTTATACCCAAAACTAGAAAGACCACAATGAATCTAGGGAGTTCAAGAGTGTCAACCTTCTCATGTGTTTACTAATTGTTTATCTGGTTATGTTTCAGTATAGTGGTGACACGTCATGGAGCAGGGGTTTTAGGATCTAGATCTGGTTTGGGAATGGGTACCAAATCAATTGATGAGAGACTACGTGGATTCATTGCATTAGAGGTTACTAGAGGCATCCTTGATGTAACCCCGGTGATGTTCGGGTCGATCAAGGAAGGTATCATCAAGCTGATGAAGGATTGCCTTTGGATCTTCAGTGTTGATCTGGTCGTTAACCAGTCTGGGGATCGTACTCTTTCCTTCAAGGATTTCAGGGGAAGTGGGGCACCATATTTCTTTGGGGTGAAGGACCCCATTGCAGCTAGGTGTTGGATAGTTGACATCGAGTATGCCTAGATGACAAGCTTTTGCCCCGAGGGGTCGAAAGTGAGGTTCTTTGCAAGATGTCTGAGGGAGCGAGCCTGAGATTGGTGGGACGAGGTCGGTTACACTTTCGGAGCCCCAGCTATTAAGGCCATGACCTAGCCCGATTTTGTGAACCGTTTTCGGGCAAAGTTTACACCAGCTGTTGAGGTGCAACAGATAGCCAGGGCATTTCTGGACATGAGAAGGACGATTGCGGCTATGGCGGAGATCACTGCTAAGTTCTAAGAGAGGGCTTTGTTAGTACCTTAGTATGCAGAAAATGAGGAGATGAGGAAGAATCGATACCATGACATGCTAAGATCTGACATCATGGAGTTTGTTAGTTTTTTTGCCTGCCAAACTCTAGATGACACGATATCCAGGGCACGGAAACGAGATATTGATTTGGAGCACATAAGGAAGAGGAAGGCGGAGCATGGGCAGACTATTGGGTTTTCAACGAAGAAACCCAAGGGTTTCAATTCAAGGTGAAAGGGCCAGCAGGGTCGGAACTAAAGTGGCAAATGCAATAGGATGCATGATGGGGCTTGCACAACGGGTGGTTTGGGCTGCTACAAGTGCGGAAATACAAGTCATTTTAGCAAGGATTGCACTAATACTATCATTACCACCAAAACATCATATCTGATTTTCTTCCATTTCAAACGGAGGGGCTACAAAAAGGCCAACTTCCCGAGCTTATCATCAGGAGGACCAATAGCAGCACCTGTTCCATCGACCCTACAGATTAATGAAGGACACGAGGGCAAGGTGGATGCACTTGTTGTGAGGAGCAGGACTTTTCAGCAGACAATCGACGAGGCTCGGGCAGCCCCAAATGTGCTGACGGGTATTGTGTAATATAACACTCCTATGGTTCACATACAACTCTAATAGATTTGGATCTAAGTTTTCTCTAGTTATACATGCAATAAAATTTCCAAAGCATGAAGCCTACAACTAGCATACAGTTTTCATACAAGAATCATAAAATTAGTTAGAATAATACCTCTTTATTGTAGCTTGTAGTTTTGGCCTTTCAAGAGCTTACCACCTCAAGTGTGATGCCTCAAATGGTTCACAAACACCATGAACAAAGGAAGACTTTGATAGAAAGGCTAGACACTCCAAAATCGGCTATCTCTCTTCGTAGAATACTTAGGGCAGATTTTAGTTAAGGGATAATATATATATATATATATATATATATATATATATATATATATATATATATATATATATATATATTGTAGGATTCCAAGAGTAATTGGTAAACCCTAATCCATACACTTAGGTTATGATCCATATCTCATGTGGGCTAACTCTTCATGGATACTTACATAAACTTAGTCCATCATGGAAGAATAGCCCAAACAATATATATCACTAATTTAGATAATCAATCCCCGTTAATTTAATTAGTCTATTTTAATCACTAAATTAATTCCAAATTAATTCTTGATCAATACTAATTAAATATTATGATATCCAATTAATATATTATACTTAAAATATATTAGTAAATCATAAATAGCCTCTTTCTCAAATATACATCCTATCAGATTGTTCTGGTGATGGAAACCCAAATGGACCATGCTACTCTCGGTTCAAGTACATACCAATTATAGTTATGGGCTTAGACACCTAATCCAACAGTCTCCGACTTGGATAAGTCTAATAACTATTATTTCAAGTACGACTCCAAAAGCCCGACTAGTAATCATAGCTCTCAAAAGCCGTTGTCGAACTCTGACCCAGTCAATGACGCATCCATTAGATAAGGGATCATATATTCCTCCATTCTAGATATCATATGAACTGATACGTAGATTATAATCATTATCTCTTTTCATGTGTTGTTTCCCGATTTCCGATTTATGATGACCACCTAATTGAACAAATTAAATCAATTCAGGCTTGGCAAAGCGCTTAGGGTTGTCATCACTAAATCATAGAGGGGCCCATAGATATCACTTTTATCCCACATTGGATAAATGGAATGGATACACTTCGACTCAAATGCTTGCTTGTACTTACTCATAAAATCACACACAACAATATGTTTTATAACACCAAGTTATTGGTGCGTTTACATATGTCAATGTTCAACCGACTTGTAAACTACAACTCACATGTCTTGCTTTCAAGAATATAAGATATTATCGTCTCATGATCACTCGTGATAAAATCCATGAAGTGATTCAAATGAGCGTAGGTTTAGTCCAATACTCAAATCTTATTACAGGAGTACTCATGAACACTACGGAAAACTTGTGCTATGTCTAAACCGCTTTAGACAATCTACAGACCCATTCTCGACGGTCTAGCTTCAATACCTACATCCAAAGTATGATCGACTATGGATAGTTTGAATAACCTAGTTACTCGGGAAGTCAAAACATGCAAAGTGAAAAAAATAAAAGAATAATCGAATCCAATATGGTCTCAAAATTATTGAATATAAATAAAACACCTTTTATTTAATCACCATATTGATAACACATTATTCATTGTAGAATGTTTTGATTTATCAACTTAATATTTGAATTAAAACAATACTTATCCCATGCTCCAAGCATGCACATTATGTTTATCTATGGTCCTTACTATGTGAAATAGATAAATTGTAACCATTTACAATACCTCTCATTTCACAATTCCAAATCCTTATCGTAAATGTAAAAACACCAAATTCTTGCCATTTGCTAAAATCTGTTAGATTCTAAACTTATATGCAACGATCCTCTTGTAATGACTATGCACAAATGTCATAGAGACTTGGAAATAGACATTACAAAGTATTCCCTTTGGACATTGGTTACTAGACCAATTCCATGGAAGCGAAGTCTCATATTCACAGTGCATTCCTTTGAACATCCTTCTTGCGTAAAAGTTTCTAACTTACTCATAGATTCTTGATATCAAACTCCCATTATGGAAAATTTTCCATAATTTCCATATGACTATCCATTCTTAATAGAATCCTATCTATTAATAATTATATCAATATGGTTTATTCATTACTATACTTCTAACTATCCACAAGCAACCAATCCTTGGTAAACCTCAAATCGTTCTTGATAGTTGTTTAATAACTTTAGTCATATTTGGTTATAGTCCTTTTTCCCTCTTAATTCCCTAGGCATTTGGAAAATTAGAACATGAGAATATTATAGCACATGCAATCGATCCTACATCCGAAGCATATGGGACACGATTCATAATGTTTTCCATAA